AGAGTCTTGCTGATGTAGTACACCGGTCTCTATTTCTTTTCAACTTTGCGAATCAGTACTGCGCTTATCGCATGATCTGAAACTACTAGATACAGGTACAGTTCTTCTCCTAGTTCTGGAGTAGAAAGTAAAGGTGGTGTACAGAGGTATTTCTTGAGGTCTTGCAACGCTTCGGTACATTCGAGACCTCATTTGAATGCAGCCTTTTTCCTCAACAGCTGAAAAAAAGGCTTTATTCGATCCGAGGACTTACTGATGAATCGGTTTAAAGTTGTCGCCATTCCAGCCAACTTCTGTAGTTCTTTGGTCTTTGTTGGTATCTCTATTTCTTGTGTTGTTTTGATTTGATCCGAATTTGCTTCAATTCCTCTGTAAGTTACTATGTACCCCAAGAACTTCATTGTTCCTACCCTAAAAGCACATTTCGAGGCATTGAGGCGAAGTTGATGGGTTTTTAGGATATTGAAAACTTCCCTTAGATCTATGAGGTAGTTTGTAGCAAGCCTGCTCTTCACCACCATATCATCTATATATGCTTCCATAGTTCGACCGAGCTATTCTCTGAACATCCGAGTTACCATCCGCTGGTAGGTTGCTCCGGCATTTCTTTATAACAGTACGTGCCTCTCAAAGTGATAAACACCGTCTTCTCTTGATCTGGGTTGAACAGTGGTATCTGGTGATAGCTGCTGTAAGCGTCTAGAAAGCTCATACGCTCATGTCCTGCTGTTGAGTCCACAAGTTGATCTATGCAAGGTAAGGGAAAACTGTCTTTTGGACAAGCTTTGTTAAGACAAGTGAAGTCGACACAGACCCTCCACTTTCCGTTTTTCTTTTTGACTACGATTGTATTGCACAGCTACTGTGGGCACTGAATTTCTCAGATTGCTCCCGCCGCTAAGAGCTTATCGACCTCTGCAATTATTGTTTCGGTGTGCTCAACTGAAGATCTTTGACTCTTTTGCACAATGGGCCGAATAAAAGGGTTAACGTTGAGCTTATGGCAAAAAAATTCTGGATTCAGCCCAGGAGTATCATATGTTGGCCATGCGAATACCTCCATATTTTCCCTTAGCAAATCCAACAACTGAAGTTTCTCATCAGCACCTAGCGAGATATCGATAAGAAAGTACTTCTCTGGGTCACCCTCTTTTACCAACACTTTCTCCAGATCCTCTACAATCTTCTCAGCTGGGGTTCCCCCGACGTCTTCCAAGATAGGTTGTTCTGCTACTTCAACCGTTTGAACCCGATTGTAGAGCTGTTTAGCCTTCATGGCTGTCATAAAATAATGCTTTAATGTAATTTGGTCCTCTGAGATTTGCTCTACTCCGTGCTCCATTAGGAAGCAGATAAGTTGGTGGTAGGTTGAGGGGACTGCTTTCATTTGATGAATCCAAGGTCGACCAAGGATAGCGTTGTAAGGAGATGGAGTGTTAATAACCAGGAATTCTATCTGAAGGGTCTTTGTCCCAGCCACTACAGGCAACACTATCCTGCCAGGTGGCTATGCGGGTTTAGAATTGAAGCCGACCATTGGTGCTTCTGCTGGGGTGAGGTGCTGCTTAGAGAGACCGAGTTTTGTAAACAAATCGTAGTACAATATATCTGCGGCACTACGCTGGTCTACCAGAACTTGTTTCACGTCAAATCGTTTCCCAATTCTCATAGTTATAATTAAAGTATCAGTATGTGGATGTTGAATACCTTCTAGATCTTTCTTAGTAAGTGAAACAGTACACAAGGGAGACTTAGGTACTGTTCTCACATTTTTTGGTGCTGGACCAACTGACATTACTTGCTAAATCTGTGCAGCCTTGGCAATTTCCTCCTAGAGTGTCTCCTCTTGCTTGTGACTAGCTGTGCCATGGATGACATTAATAACTAGTCAAGGTGGATGCTCTGCATTTGGTTCTAGTGGGGTCCCCTACTCGGTTACCACTTTGTCTAGATCGATGTATTCTTGAAGATGCCTAATAGCTACCAAATCCTCAAGGTGTTGTTTCAAAGCTTTGTAGTTCTGAGTCATGTGCCCTTGGTCCTGATGATAGGTACATCTAAGCTTATGATTGCGCCGAGCTGGATCTCTTAACATCTTTGGTGGCCAAGTAAAGAATGGTTCTCTCTGGATTTTTTCCATAATGCGATAGATGGGTTCCTTGAAGGATGTGACAACTACTTCATGAGATTTGGACTTATCCACCACATTTACTGCAACTCCTTGAGGTTCTCCTTGGTTTGCTTTTCGTTGGTTTCCTCGGCCCTACTGTTCGACTGAAGACACTTCGATGGGAATCTGATCATCTTTGAGGCGAGCGTATTGCTCAATCCTACACGTAAATCTTTTAGTGCTGTGGCTGGGCTCTTGGTAAGTGATTGCCTCATCTTGCTTTCCAGTCGCAGACCATGCTTAAAAGACATTACAGCCATTTGTTCCCTGCAGATATTTTCCTCTAAGTCATTATACTCTTTCCAGTACCTCATTGCATAATTGTGTACTTCCTTCTGTTCCTTTCGGAGACCAAATAAGGTGTCTTGCTCCTTAGGGATTTTGGTATTGGAGACAAATCTGGCCAGGAATTCCTCAGAGAGAGGCTTCTAGTCGTAGATCAATCCAGCAGGGAGATGATCGAACCATCGGAGTCCGGACTCTCCTATATTGGATGGGAAGACCTTGCACATTAGTGTCTCATCTCGATTCCACAAAGACGTTATCTTCCAGTAGTGGTTGATGTGTGTAAGTGTATCTGACTTCCCATCGTATGGTGTAAATTTTGGTGGAGTAAACTTCTTGGGAGGTTTCATACCTCGATGCTCCCTCTGATGGACAGTATGGTCAAGATATTGAGTCTGCCGCTCTCGTCGTTGCTCATTTTCTCTGTTCTCAACCAACTAGGTACGGAGATCCTGAGGAGGATATTCTGCCTGCTGGCTGGCCGTTTTCTGCCTTTTAGCCCTCTTCCGGCGTGAACCACAGGTGTGGCTGCTCGCTACCTCACTTTGCATCGAGATTGGCTGACTTCACTGCCCAAACTCATTTCTGGGGACCTTCTTCACTGGTGGCTCAAGGGATGGGCTTCTCCAGTGCAGACGAGAGGGTTTTACTTCAGTCCTCTTCTTTATTAGGTCGCCCATTATCATCTTGAGCTGTGTTTTTAGTTCTTGTATCTCCATTCCTATGGAATCGATGATACGATCTCTATAATCATTTTCCAACAAAAAATAAGGGGAAGAACCACCAGCAAAGGGCTGTCGATGCTTAACAGATTCTGGAGTCCGGTTGTTGTTTCCGGTCTGCTCCTCCAGAACTGTTGGCAGCGCCAGGCCCTTATCCTTCATCTTCTCCATTTGTGGAGTCAATGTAGGGAGTGGAATATCCTCAAGTCCCATTGCCGGAATCAGATGCAGAACTCAGAGATGAAGAGTCCACGCTTACCGCACCAATTATGCGTACTGAATACCTCACTAGATGATTATGGACCAGAGCTTCGCACCTAATTGGACTATCCAAGAACTGAGACCCTGTAACACAGAGCATTGTCAGAGTTGCCCAGCCGGGGTTAGCCAGATAACCCCTCTAGTGTGGGAGTAACTAGACGGAGAAGATGAGGGACCCTCTCTAGGTGTAGAGAGACAGAATGAGTAATGAATTCAGTTGTGTTTAGGTGAGTGTAGTTCAGCTCAACTTCGTTACCTTCAATGTGAAGTGAGTGGAGTTTATATAGAGCACCTTACTTGTTGTCCAAGATGGTTTTATGAAGTTTTGGTACTGCCAGGCTCCCTTTAACATTGCTCAAGGTAGGGGACCGTTAGATGGATGCATATACTCATTGTAACCATGCTCATAATAGATCACATTCCCTTGATCAACTGTTTTCGTGATTCTAAGGGAAGGGGACCAGCTAAGGTGACAACCTGCACATTCATGCATTCGTATTTTCTACGTTTCTCTAAGAGATTCCCTCAGCTTGGTACCATTGTGCCCTGGCTCGACCTTTCACAAGATTGCTTAGAGAGATGGGCTGGCCCATTTAGATATATTTGTGTAGGCTCAGCCCGCTTTGGTTTTTGATGATTGGTTCGGCTCATTAGTTCGGTCCAAAGATTAAGTCTTGCAGCTCGGCCTAGCTCAGTATCGCGATTGGATTGGCCTTTCCATTGCGAGTTGGACCCAAGTGCTTGAGGACTTGGGTAGACTGTGTGTTATAGAGATAGGCTCCGTTGGCTGGCGCACACATTCATCTGACACACTTGGACTTGGGTTTAGTGGATTGGGGCGGCCCAAGATTTGGATCCGACCCGTTTCTATTCTGCCCCTCCAAATATGAAATCCCAGCTTTGATAACTTTAAATTAAGTTATTGGGTTATCTTGACAAACATACTGCATTTAAATTATTGGACGGAATATAATAACCCATGTTATTTTTTTGTTATTGGATTATCTTGACAAACACATTGTATTTAAGTTATTGGACGGAGTATAATAACACACGGTATATTTTTTTAGTATATTTCTACATACAAATTCTATGTTTGGCATAATTTTTAGAAAAATGTATCTGCATGCAATTTCTATGTGTGACATTATTATTTATAGAAAGATTTGTGTTGCAAAATTATTGTTTCGATAAGTTCTTCAAAAATAGTTTTGTAAAGTAGTTGGTTTTTATGTCTTTTAATAGTTTTCAAAAAGCAAAAAATAAAAATGATTTATGAAAGTAGTCTTAACACTATAACCAGACATTCTAAGATCAATTCTTGCCTCCATCTAAATAAAGAGGCTTTACAAGTAAGAGGAGGATTATCCCTCAATATTTTATCTATGCAGATTGGACCAAAAATAAGTAATTTACTGACTTGGGTTTTTTTTTTTTTTTTTTCACAAACAAAATTATCATTTTGATTATTTCAGTTTTCTGAAAATTATGAAAGTCATAATAAGTATTTTGTCTAAGTCATGGGAATTATAACATTACAACAATATTACATAATAGACACTTTAATTGGAAATTGGAATAGCCTTGAGAGGTATGGCCTTACGTAAAGTAATTCCAAACTTCTCGCTCATGTCTATATCTTTTGATTCCATTCCGCCTCCAAGCTTCCAATCAAAGGAATGAAGAAGAGAAGTCAACGTGAAGTGCACCATCTGATACGCCAACGGTATTCCTAGACACATCCTCCTTCCCGCGCCAAAAGGAATGAGCTCGAAATCTTGGCCTCTCATATCAACTTTAAGGTCTAAGAACCTTTCAGGTACAAATGAATCTGGGTGTAACCATATGCTTGAGTCTCGACCAATAGCCCATACATTAACAAGAACTTGTGCATTCTTGGGCACCATGAAACCACTTATTTCTACATTAGCTTCGGCTTTATGGCGGAGTAGTAATGGTGCTGATGGGTGCAACCGAAGGATTTCTTTTACAACTGCTTGTAAGTAAGGTAGCCTAGGGATGTCTGCTTCTTGCACTATTCCATCATTGCCAATGACTTCTTTGAGCTCAGCTTGTGCTTTTGCCAAAATTTTAGGCTTTTTTAGTAACTCTGCCATTGCCCATTCCACAATGCCTGAAGTTGTGTCTGTTCCTGCAACAAATAAGTCCTAATATAAAGTAAAGTTAGTAAGTTGCTTTCATGAACAAATTACATTATTTTGTTTTAGAAACACATCAACGTGACTATATATGACTACATGCAACCTTTTCATCACCAATACTAATGATGATATGAGAGGGGTGGGCGCGGGTCAGTTGCGGCCACGAAACCTCAAATCCGCCATCCGTCCGTCAATTCGGCGGATGTGGATTGAGCAGATTGGTGGTTTGGCAGATGGATGCGAATCGATTTGGCGGTTTCAGATTTAATAAATTTTTAACATAATTCAACTTGTGTACTTCCTCGAAAAAAAGAAAAAAGAAGAAGAAAGTATTACAGTCAATGACTCAAAAAACTATTACAATCACTACATGTGTCATCCAAAAAAAGAAAGTTTGAAACTTTAGAATATCACAATCACTGCATGACACATCCACATATTACAATTACAGCATGATTCATCCACATAAAGTATTACAATATGTGGTTCTTAAAATATAATAACAATTCAAACCACCAAAATCATGAACAGGGCAGTAGTAGAGATTATATGTCTCTATATTGTTACATTTATATATGTTTTTGAAAACAAAAACCAATCAGCATGTATCATATTTTCTATTTATTATTTTTAGAGTTAAATTTAAAAATCAAAAAATATAGATAAATAATACGTTTATTTTTTTCAATTCAAAAAATATATTAAAGTTGAAATTTTTTTTTTCAACAGAATATTTAAATTCTTTTTCAGTTAAAAACACAAACAAAATATTTAAACAAATTGAAAACATAAAGTCTTATAAATTATTAGGGGTGCTCGTGATTTGGCGGTTCGGTTGCGGCCAAAGGAATTTCAAATCCGCCATCTGTCTGCCAAATTGACGGATTGGAGAAAATCAATTCGCAACTGTCCGCTCGTCATCACGCATCTGTCCAAAATGCGACAGATCGGTTTGGTTCGGTCAATTTTGACGGATCGATATATCTGCTGCTCACCCAATGAGAGCAAGTAAGCTATGGCTGGTATGAGAATAATGATGATAAATGATAGTTGAACTCACTGGGATGGGCTATTTTGTATCAATAGGAGTGAACAGGCCAAACACTAAGAATTATTACCAATTAATAAAATTTTGTATCATAATATTCTGCAGTATTCCACAAATATAAATCGATGGAACTCTTCACGTATATCTCTGCTCCATGACAAACTCTTGATCTGATAGTAATCCATGGAACTCTTCATATATATCTCTGCTCCTCACAACTTCGTTACTCAAAACAACAAATAGTAGGTATGCAAAGCAACTACGAGTCAATTAGCACTAGACAAAAGATAAGACGTCATAATCCTCTAAAGTAAGCTTCAAACACCCTTTCGGTATAAGATCTTGTTCTGCAACTCCTATGGCTCGTTCAAACGCCCTTTGGATAAAATTCAAGTGGGCTCTCAAGGTTGAGATTGTTGAATCTTGCTAGCGAAGAACCATAACAAAGTTGTAATTACAATCAAAATATCATCAAATAGTTAATTTCTAAAAAAACACTAAAGCTTGCTCTGATGTAGCCTTATGGAGCAAGGTAGAGATGGTGGTTGGATCCCGGTTGTGAATCAAAGGCGAGGAGGTGGATCTCGGGGATATGAAGAGAGGAGGGGTCTGTTTACTGTGTTCGTGGACAACATCCCAAGTTCTTTGGATGCAAAGTCATCATTGTTCAAGCTCTTCAATAAGTTTGGTGTAGTCAAAGATGTTTACATCCCTTCCAAAAGAAGAAAAGTGACGAATTCCAGATTCGGCTTTGTGAGATTTGACTGTCATGTTGCTTCAGACATGGCAGTTCAGAAAACTAATGGGCTTTTGGTGGATGATAAGGTTCTTGCAGTCAAGTATGCAGCTTATGACAGGAGTGTGCCTAGCATGAGAAGACCCCAGGCCAACAGTGAAGCCTTGAACCCAAACAGAGGTAAAGGTATAGTCTCACATATTGGCCACAAATCTTTTGCAGAGGCACTTCAAGGGGACTCGACCATGGTGGATGTGAAAGCTAGCATGACCGTAAAAGCCAATGAAGATGGTCATGGTTGGCTTTATGATAGTATAATTATCAGGCTCAACTTGGATTTCTCCATTAACAGTATCAGATCTGCTTTGAAGGATATTGGGTTAGATCAAGTGGTGGCCAGACAAGGGGGCGGCAGGGATGTAATATTGACTTTCAAATCCCAGGAGGAGCTCCAATCAAATATCCAGAAGATCAAGGATTGGTTCAAAGACTGGAGTCAGTTTGTTTTGGAATGGAGGCCAGGAATCCAAATAGTCCAAGAGAGATGTGTTTGGTTGAAATGTCATGGTATTCCTCTAAACCTCTGGAATAGGAGCAATATAAACAATATTGGAGCTTTGTGGGGGACAGTGCTGCAACTGGAGGGTGACCTTAGCCAACCAAAGTCATTTGCTTACTCCAGAGTTCAAGTGGTTACAACATGCATGGAGCTCATTAACAAAATCGTTCATCTGGTTTGCAAGGGTAAATTATACCCAGTTTATGTTTGTGAAGACCTTTGTGTCAATCCAGTGGAGTGTAATGGGGTTCGGAAAATGGGGCTGGATGATTGTAATAGCAGCTCCAAAGTTGAGGAAAATGAATTCATAGATGGGGAGTGTAAGAGGCAGGACGATGTCGATATAGCGGTAAATCAGTTTGGCTTGTCCGATGCTGCGTTGCCTTTCTCCATTGAAGTGGCACAAAGGAAGGAGCTCGCTCACTGCAACTGTAGAGAGGCGGTGGGCACAGTTGTTGAGGAGTCACGAAGTGATGTGGAGGTCAGCAGACCTACTGCAATTGGTGGGAAAGGAGCAATGATGGAGGAGTGTGCACCCTGCCCAAAGACTACTGCAATTGGTGGGAAAGGAGCAATGATGGAAGAGTGTGCACCGTGCCCAAAGAGTAATGACTATTCACTGAGGTGTGTTGAGCACGCTTCTGCAACTGGCTTGTTCAAAAGTCTCAGCGGATCGATAGATGCATTTGGGCCTGGAATTAATTTGGAGGTTGCCTTGGGCCCTACGAATAATGATCATATTGTGCATGGTCCTGTTCGCATGCCAAATGGGACTCTTTTAACTGTTGGTTCAAATGGGTCAAGCACTAAGAGCTTTCATGTTGAAGGCCCTGTTCTCTGTCCTGCTTCCTTCCCCAACCCAGATAGGTCTGCCAAGAAAGCTGGAAAAAAAAAGGTTCGGATGGAAGGTTTTTCTCGGTTTGCTCGTCTCTATGGTCATCAATCTGCAGCTATCGGTAGGCTTCCATCCAAGTCCGTTATTTTCAGGCCAGCAGCAGTGGCCCTTGCACATTCTGAGCTGTCTGAGGGCGAATCAAGCATGCATACCTATCTCCTCAAGGAAGCGCAGGCCACTGTCCAATTGGGGAAAGATCTGGGAATTAATTTCTGTGGTCAAGAAGAGGGTGTGGTTGATAAGATTATGGAGATGGAGCTTAAGGATAAGGAGAGATTTTTAAAAGATGGAAATACTTAGATGTAAAACAGGGTGTAATGGGTGTATGGAGTGGGTGTTCTGCATCAGGAGGATCCTTTTTCAGTGTTTGGGTTGTTACCAGTGGGGCTTATGCAGTGGGTGTGTGGAGTTTAGACCGGAGTAGAAGTGTTGTTTCTTGGGTGTATCGGTTGGATGGTTGTAGTGTTCTGATCTTGCAATGGGTGCTCAGAGATTGGCCTTGGGTGTATTAAGTTGCAATGGATTCTCAGTGGGTGCGTTTCTCAGTGGGGGGGGTGGTTTGGTGTTAAGTTCTGCTTAACCTGTAATAGCCTCTGTTTTTAGTTTGTGTTTTTTTGGTTTTTTTCTTTTAAAAAAAAAAAAAAAATTGTGAGGCTGAGGGGTTGGTTGTTTGGGTGCGAGTAGCAGTAGTAGGGGTAGTTTGTACTTTCCGAATCTCTCTCGATGCACTTCATCTTCCTGTACTCTTAATTTCATGTTGTTAATGAAATTTTTCTTTGCTGATCAAAAAAAAAAAAGTGGGCTCTCAAGACTTGGTTATCAATTTTTTTTTTTTTTTTTTTCAAATATGTAACTCCAAATCTAAGAAAAGATTAATTTGGCCAAATTTGTGTAGAATTTAAAATGTGTATCCTAAATCCAATGCAATATGCTCATGTTATACAAATATAAAATAAGACTAATGGCAAATATTTAACTCCAAATCTAAGATAAGATCAATGGCTTTGAGCTTCAAATTGCTACAGTTTTGAACACTCATCCTAGCCTCTCAACCCACTACAACCAACCTCAAGTTATGTGAAACAAATGTCAAGTTTTGGCTACGAAAATCGTTAACATGCTAAACACTCTAATAATGGTAAAATTTAGATTGAACATAATGAAATTATGGCGATCATATAGGCAACAACAATAGAATGGAAAAGAAGAAAAAAACTTCTGTGTTATGGATCAAATTGTTCAAAAATTCCATAAAAGCATGAACATGATTTATCCAAATGAAAAAGTCATAAGAAAAAAAGAAAGAAAGTTTATTTGTTCATATTTACTCACAAGAAATAAGTGTTTTATGTCATCGCAGCTCAACCGGGTATCATTTTCTTTCCTGAGATTGAGAAGCACCTCTAGGAAATCATCAATAGTTGGAGAAGACACAGAAGCTCTTAATTGCAACCTTTGATTAATAATCCCATCAAATATATCAAATAACCTCTGTATATAACATTTTGTCTGACCTTGTAAACCTTGTGGGTCAATGAACTTAAGCAATGGAAGATAGTCTGCAATATTAGGTTTCCCAGCAATTTCCATTAGAGCCCATACCAAATCCTTAAACTCTTGAGAAAAGATTGAGTTAAGGTGAGCCATGTCAATGGAGAAGAAGGTATTTGATAGCAAATTAAGGGTGGTTAAAGCAGCCTTTCCAATATCCACTTCCTGGCCATTTTCACATCTTAGTTTGACGTAATCAAGAAGCTCTTGTACCTTTTTTTGCCTAAGGCCTTGGTTTGTATCGAGGCAACGCGTGGAGAACACGTGTTCCTTGCATATCTTCCGGAGGTTTCGCCAAGGGCTCAACGCCGACGACCACACTATGGAAGCTTTGTGGTGGTTGAGTACTTGGACAACATTTGGGAGTGTTCGGAATATTGATCATTCACGACTAATTAATATTTGGTCGGCAAATGTCATTTTTTTGCGACCAAAATTTTTTTGGTCGGCAAAAGTGGTCGGCAAATATGTAAATTCTTGTAGTGATTGGAGAGTGATTCATGGGGTCTTCTGCCAAGTGCTGGAATGTTTCCGATGATCGGAAAAGGGATTGGGCCTGGCGGAAGCCTTGCCCGGCCGGCAGAGCTAGACCGGAAGACATGAATGCATGTCCACACAAAGGACAGTACAAGAAGAAGTGTTAGATAATCCATATGGGTGTTTTGGAGAGAATTTGTAATTTTCTTGTTGTAGAACAAAAAATCTAGACTTATATATGAAGATATCTTTTTCAATACGGTAGTGTTATGTATACTAATTAGTGTAATTAGTGTACTAATACTAGTTATGACATTATTATTAATCTCACTCATTATATAAATTACATATACCAAAAATCTTTTAAATTATGTCACATCATCAATTGGTATATTAGTTAGTGCACTAATCAGTGCTAAAGAATCGTACAATTATGTAAACTTCATAGTTGTTATTTTTTCTTCTACCACAAAACATATAATTTTTTATTCATAACATTGCCACAATAATTGATCATTTTCATTTTAAGGGTGCATAGCCTTTTTGTAATTTTTACCACCAATATACTCTTTTCAGGGGTACACATCATAAATTATTTGCATATTCATAACTTCTATAACTAAATAACATAATATTTTGTGAGGAAAAATTAGGGAGGTATCTCTCTACATATTTGTATAAGAATTTAAGGACAACCATAATTTGATTGCTAGTTAAAATTCCTAAGATTTGAAATTTCATAAAGATAAGGACAAATTTCAACATAAATGTCAAGAATGCCCTTTTAACAATTGGTATCATGAAATTCTAGCATCTTCTCTCTTTATTGTAGACAAATTGTATTTTGGAATGTGTTTCAAAAATTAAAATTTAACAACTTTTGATCTGAAACTCCGTATTTTGTAAAATTTATATTTTTAGAATCGTCTCGTCGAAACCTATCAAATAAGATCTATGATGAATGTGAAATTTTAAAAAGAAAAAAAAAATTCACTAAGTTTTTTGACTAAAAGTCAAAGAAATTTCATTGCCTTCTCAATTGTTCAATTTCTGAAATTTCTTTGAGAGAAAACAAGCAATTCTGAAATTTCTCTGAGAGATTCTAAGTAATTTTGAAATTCCCGTGAGCAATTTTATTAGTGAAACTTAAAGTCAATTACAGTGACATTTAATTGATTTTAGTGAAATTTCTCTGACTTTGATCAATGAAATTATATTTTTTTAATTTTTTTTTTGAATTCATATTCATCATAGATCTTAATAAGAGAATTTTAAAAATATAAATTTTATAAAAAGCAGACATTAAATAAAAAGTTATTGAATTTTAAAGTTTTTAAATCATTTTAAAAATAACAGAACAAACGATTAGTGCTGGGGTTACTTTGGTCAAATGATGTTGGAAGTGTTAGAGGACTTGAATTAAAAAAACTTTTTTTCTTGAGTAATGTTAGGGATCATGAAAAATATATCATGAAATACATCATGAAAATTTTTCATCCCTTGATTAGTCTTGATTAGTGTGTGGTGTTTTATTGTATGGGTAATCCAAAGGTTGAGAATCTTTCATGATAATATTCATGATATATTTTTCATGATCCCTAGCATTACTGTTTTTTCTTATGTTCTTCAACTATAATGTTTATAATGGGGGAGCTGTACGATTTATCTCTTATTGGGAATGCACATCATAAATTTCACTTACGAGGATTTAGAAAGAATTTCATGTGAACAAAATGGTACCATAGCATATTAAAAACCATCAAGGGGACTCTAGCTTATCATGCAATCTAAGAAATTTTTTTAAACAGTTGTGCTACGTGTAGAAAGAACAGAATAGAGTATACAAATGTAAAATAAAATATTCACATATGTATTCTATTTTCAGTTCTCTATGTTGACCTACACTTTTTAAATTTTTAGAGAGTTTAGTTTGGGATTAGGATTAATAGTGAGGTGGGATTCACAACATCATGTTTGTTTGCAAAATAGTCCCCGAATTGATAGTCTGTTAGGACTCTGAATCCCCTTCAACGAGCGGATTAGCATAGGCCTAAGAGACTTGGTATTACAGATCAAGCCATTCGTATAACAGTGTGAAAGACAATTTTGCCCACAACAAGGTTTAGCCACATCATCTAACTCAACTGTATTTCATAGTTGTCGAAATTAAAATTGGCAAGGAAAAAAATCGTGTTTGACGTTGATGATCATTCAACTGTATTTTATTTTATTTTTTTTATTTATGAACGTGAAAAAGGATATTCTGTGGGGACATCATAACATCTGCGGATCCTGACCCCTGAGTAACCTGTTGCTGGTCAGATTTAACCCAATTCATAGGAATGGACCCACCACCGAGGCACCCAATGGACCTCATCCACGTGCCACAGAGGCCAAGTATCGATCGGAGTACAGCGCAGAGTCTTTGCAGAGAGAGGGTGCCCCCATGATTCGATCCTGACTCACCTTTGTGGAACGCAATGCATTGTCCACAAGGCCACCACCCGTGGTTGTATTCAATTGTATTTCAAACTCAGGAATTTGCAAGAAAAACAAAACATACATTAAAAGATCTACGTTGATAATCGCTATTGATGTTGATGATCACCGTCGTCGTCATTGTTGACGGTGATGATCATTGTTGTTGGGTTGATGATCTCATTCTCGCTTTTCGTCAGCGTTATCGACAAAGCTCTATTGATGGGAAAATTATATAATAATTCCGGAGTATCACGTGTTACCAATCACCATTCATAATGCCCTTTTATGTTTCTCAAACATTTAATATAAATAATTAATACTCTATTTTTTTCACTAATCATATTATTATGAAATATCACGTAACCGTACAACGAAACTACCAAATAATCACCCTTGTTGACGGATGAAGGCAAACCTCTCATGATGATGAATGAATTAAGTGGATAGAATCTTTCAATACACTGTTTCAAAACCATGGGAGGTTTTTGAAAACCATGGGCTGCTTTGATTTTTTTCCTCTCTCATTATTTCATATTTGTCTTATATAAAAATAATTTAATATAATAATATTTATAAAATATCATTTTTAATATTAAAATATATCAGAAATATCAAAAAATATTTATAATATTTTATGTAATTAATTTCCTCATTAAAAAATATATAAATAAATATAATTTTTCTTAACCTCCTCACTATGTATAATCTTATTCATCCTAAAAACAAACCAACCATTAAATCGCCCAAGTGTCCGCATGATATGTCACTTTAGACTTATCAGTGCAGTTGCTCTAGCTGGATATGATTGTAATCTGTTTGTAACTCACGTGGGGAAAGAGATATTTGTGAAATAGAAATTTGTTTTTATTTTTTTAAAACAATGGATAAGAGGAATAGGCAAAGTTACGCCACATAAAATGACATTTGAATACGAGTACCATGCCTAAAGAGGGTGGAATGTGCAATAACAAAAGTCAAGGCTTAATAATAAAATATTTTATTGGTAGGCCAAGGCGAATCCTATCTCTTTCGACTCCATCTTATAATTTTTTCTTAACTTTTGTCATTGGTAAAAATAAATTACGTCAAAAAATTTAATTTTTTCAAATTTGTAAAATATTTAAAAAAATTTATTTAAAAAACAAAAATAAGCCAAATTTTATTATTATTATTTTTAAAAAAATGTCTTTAAAACTTGGCTTATTTTTTGCAACAATGATTCATCCCACTAAAAACATCACCACTAATAGCACTAATGCATTAAAAAAGTAAAAAAAAAAAATATATACACAACTCCAAGACCAAAACATCACATCATTAATGACGGGACCCACTGCCACCTAATTAGTGGGAGCACTAATTAGTGCTCCCAAGCATTTTTCTATTTTTTGTCTCTAGCATTTTTTTCCCAAACATTTTGTAATTTTTTATTTTAAATCATGTAGTCTAGGGAGGGCCAAAGGGGACAGCCCCCTAAATATTTTAAAATTATTTCATTACTCTTTGAATTTATTATTATTTTAAATTTTTTGCAATGTATGTAAAATGGTCCCTTTAAATTAAAAAAATTCTTTATTGACTAAGGCCAAGTTTGGGAAGATCCAAAAAAGCCAAAAAGTCAAAAAGTTACTCAAAAAGCTAAAAAGTTAACACTATTCACCAAAAGTCAACTGAAAGACAATTTTGCCCACAACAAGCCATCCAGCTCAGGATCAAATTTTTCTCTACAAATCAATTTTTACAATTTTTTATTACACATTTTCCAATAAAAATTCAAAAAGTTAACCAAAACATCCATATTTTCAACCTCAATTTTTTAGTCCAAAAAGACAAAAAGTGCACTTTTTTAGTCTTCCCAAACTTGGCCTAAGTATCCATACAATATACGGTTTACATAACATTGATTTATGCTACATATTACATAACAACATCGATTTAATTTAATATATAAATGCCATTTAGTGTGTTTGATTTTAATTTTTAAAAAATTGAGTTTTTTATTTTTTATGTTTTTTTTGATTTTTGGAAATATTTTTAAAATTTTAAGTATTTTTGTTTTTTTTTACTTTTTTATATGCACCTTACTTAGATGTATCTAAATAGTAAAATATTTGTAAAAAAATATTTTTAAAAAATTAATAAAAACACAAAAATACGAAAAATGAATTGAATTTTCATATTTTTTTTTATATTTTTTGTATTTAGTGAATTTTTTATAGATTTTTTTTTACAAATATTATACTTGTTAAGTGTATTTATGTTAGGTATGTCTAAAAATTTTTAAAAAATACTTATAATATTAAAAAAATACGAAAAACAAAAAAGTAAATTTTTTTAAAAAGTGAATTCTGAAAATTGTGTGTTTTATTTTTTTCTCTATATATATATATAATAAAAAGGGATATTTAATCTAATGTCCTTTTCTAATTTTTAATAATGAAAGGGATCATAATTTTTTTTTTAGCTTAAGGTCCTCACCTGCTTCAACACTGGAGGCAATGACATCGATCATAGTATCTGCCACGTATTGAAGAAAGAAATATTGTCGAACAATACGATGACTCCCTCGGTTTCCTTTTGGCCAAGCTTGTTATGTTTCTTATCACCATTATCGCCGAGCAACAGCGGAATTGTAACACATAGAGAGAGAGAGAGAAAGAGTAGAAGAATATTCCCGTGAATGCTCTTTTGTATCCCCATATTTAGAAGAGAGTAGAACATCATTCATTTTGGTTTAACCAAACTATCATTTCCAACAAAAAGAATTAGGGTTCCTTGTGCTGTTTGGTTTAGAATAGGTATGGTTTAATTCATGTGATTTTTCAATTAAAAGCTAGTATTTGATTCAATTGAGAGTTATTTTAGTTGGTAATTTGTTCAATTCATGTGAAAATCTATTGTGAGATCATTATTTGATAGTTTGAGCAAAGCAATTTGATACTGTACTTTTTGAGAACTGATTTGATGGATGGAATTAGTGGAATACATAGGCTGTGTTTGGTTGTGCTCTCCAAATGTGTTTACACCCTCATATTTGCGTTTCACGTTTGGATATAGGTTTCAAAATTTAATTCCACCACACAGTTCAAAATGCAACTTTACTTCCCGTTTGGGAGATTTCGCCGTTTCGTCTTTGCCACTCTGAAACGCTTCATCTCTCTTCGGTGTTCTGAAAAGCTTCCAAACGTACATGTTCTCTCTCTTCCGTCTTTTTCATTTTTGAAAAACTTTACGTGCAAAGAAATTTAAAGCTCAAGATTCTTCACGGGTCGTCTTCCTCTCTTTGAACTAAATTATGACCTTCAAATCTAAACCATGCCTGTGAACCCCCTTTCTACCCATAAATTCGCATCCACCAGCTTCCACAAATCAACTGAGTTTCACTCTGTGCGTTGTGGAAGATTCACCCTTCGGCCAATGAAACAATGACAACAAAGAGGTAAAGTAAATCACAAATTTCTCTCAAAATATATACTGGTTCTATATATAACTCACTAATTTCCTGCTTCATCCCGAAATTCATCCCCAAATTTATTTGTCTCAGGCCAAATTTATGAAGCGTATTCTCGAATTAGACAACTACTGAAAAAGCGCACATTCACTCACTCTACCCACTCTGTCACCGGTGACAATTATTCCACTCCTATTGCTTTGGTACATATATCCTTCAATCGATTTTCTATGGAATAGCTAAGAAATAGAAATGGGTTCTTTGATCTGTCCAAATGGTGCTGAGCCGGTCATCCACTAGGACAACTGGCCGGTCGTCCTTCCGATTTTCCAGCCGGTCAACCGCCACTCCACCACTCCCACCTTTGGGTTGACAGCCACTCACCCCTTTGCTGCTTCTTTTCTTTTGCTCTCCTTCTGTTTATTGTCTACTGTGTACACTTCATATAAAACACTCTAACATTCTTTCACAATGGATTTGCAATTAATATTTTGTTTTTTCTTGTTCATCTGGTTTTTCCAACACTGTTTACAACTTCAATTAACTAATCTTTTATTCGAACTGAAACATAATTGTAGATGATTCTAGCATTGATTCTGGAAACTCAAGTTATTTGATAAATTATGCTTAGGACTTATCTTGTTATTTTTCAATATCCACTTAAGCTTAGTTTAGATATAAATTGTGTGTTGTTAGATGGATAGCAACAATTCAGATGATAATTAGGACACAAAAATGTGGAGCTCCAGAATTGAAATGAAGCTAATAAACATGTTGAGATAAGAGGTACAAAAAACCAAACAAAAGGCCGTAGTACTAGGTGAACAGTTAGGCATTGGAACCATTTTGCAATTGAGTTGCAAAATCTGTATGGGTTCCGATACACACCAAAACAGGTGAGACAAAAATATCAGCGACTAAAAGGTGATTATCAAACTTTCAAGCGACTTCAGGCACAGACTGGCCTGGGATGGGATCCCATTGTAAGAACAGTGGTTGCACTTGATGACTTTTGGGATAAGGTATTGAATTAACTTGTACCCTTTTCAAAAATTTTTGTAAAATTTTATCACGTACAATACGCTTATTTTCAAAATTTTCAATTGGAGGTAGGCAACAAAAAAATGTAAAGAAATTCAAGACTAAAGAATTTGAGTATTTTCATGAAATAATTGAAATTGTTGAAAACTGCTATGCCACAGGGGCCTTGGCCTGTGCATCCACACAAGAAGCCCCTGACTCCAATGAAGAGGATGAAGTGCTTAACAAATTTTGGTCGCTTGGAGCTGGTGGGAGTAATGCGGCTGAACCCATTGCTGTTGACTCATTCAACGATGAGTACATGGAACCATCTAAGGAAAAAAGTCACAAGAGAGGTCCTACAAATAGCCAGACTAACAGTGGTCGTTCTAAAAGGTCACGGTCAAGTGGCTTTGATGATGACCGCGCAGCTTTCACTACCTACGTACAGGCAAAAACGGAATAGTCCCGTGCACCATCAATAGACACAGAGGTTGTAAGTTTAGGTGGCAATGACTATTCCCTTGATGCATGTCAAGATGCCCTGCTAGAGCTTGGGGACATACAACCGGTCCAGTACGTTAGGGCACCGACATTATTCAAAGACAAGGAATGACGGAGGGTTTTTATGCGTACTCTTGCGCATATGCGTCTAGCTATGATCCTAG